TCGGCGCTCCTGCCTCGCCAGGGGGCCCCGCTAGTCGGCGCTCCTGCCTCGCCAGGGGGCCCCGCTAGTCGGCGCTCCTGCCTCGCCAGGGGGCCCCGCTAGTCGGCGCTCCTGCCTCGCCCGGGGCCCGCTAGTCGGCGCTCCTGCCTCGCCAGGGGCCCGGTAGCTGGCGCTCCTGCCTCGCCAGGGGCCCGGTAGCTGGCGCTCCTGCCTCGCCAGGGGCCGGGTAGCTGGCGCTCCTGCCTCGCCAGGGGCCCGGTAGCTGGCGCTCCTGCCTCGCCAGGGGCCCGGTAGCTGGCGCTCCTGCCTCGCCAGGGGCCCGGTAGCCGGCGCTCCTGCCTCGCCAGGGACCCGATAGCCGGCGCTCCTGCCTCGCCAGGGGCCCGATAGCCGGCGCTCCTGCCTCGCCAGGGGCCCGATAGCCGGCGCTCCTGCCTCGCCAGGGGCCCGATAGCCGGCGCTCCTGCCTCGCCAGGGGCCCGATAGCCGGCGCTCCTGCCTCGCCAGGGGCCCGATAGCCGGCGCTCCTGCCTCGCCAGGGGCCCGATAGCCGGCGCTCCTGCCTCGCCAGGGGCCCGATAGCCGGCGCTCCTGCCTCGCCAGGGGCCCAATAGCCGGCGCTCCTGCCTCGCCAGGGGCCCGATAGCCGGCGCTCCTGCCTCGCCAGGGGCCCGATAGCCGGCGCTCCTGCCTCGCCAGGGGCCCGCTAGTCGGCGCTCCTGCCTCGCCAGGGGCCCCGCTAGTCGGCGCTCCTGCCTCGCCAGGGGCCCCGCTAGTCGGCGCTCCTGCCTCGCCAGGGGCCCCGCTAGTCGGCGCTCCTGCCTCGCCAGGGGTCGTACTAAAGTGCCCTTATCCTAACCTACCAGAGGACCCAAAACAGAAAACGGGCCCTGTTGCCAATTTCGCGAGCCGCTACCCTTTTCCAGTACGACAATTTTTACCCTTTGGTAGAGCATACGTCCAAAATGCGACGTTCTATTAGCAGGATAGGTTGCACCTCCAACTATAACCCAAAAATTCCATATATCGTTTGCCTTTCCATTGGAGATTTTCGGCGCCGTGGAGAGGGGGTGGGACCTGCTGCATGGGTAACAGCTTCTCCTCCATATCAACCTACCCTAACTCCATAGACTGATGGATGCCTACTACTACGTTTATATTTGACAATATTTAACTTTATAGTTAACATATAGCAATCAATAATTATAAACATATATATTTTTATAAATGTTTCAGACCGAATTTACATGTATAATAATTTTTTTGTTTACTTTTCCAATGTTTCTACAGTAACATTTGGTAAACATCACAGTCCCGAATTTAAGTGTATTATTTAGACATTATATTCCTATAAAGCAACAATTTACTACAATGTTCTGAACAAATTCTGTTATTCTAGGATAATTAACTGGCAAACTTGTATAAAATTCGTTATTGGCGATTAGCCTTGGTTAGAATTATAGAAATCTGAAACGTGAAATGCTGTTTCACATTACAAAGGGGTGTTTGTGTGTGTGTGTGTGTGGGGGGGGTTATCTTGCAATGATTTCGGGGCTTAGCGTTCCCATGACCCGGTCTTCGACCAGGCCTCGGGGAAGGGGAGGGGGGTTCTGAATAATTTGTCTTCATAAAACTTAATACAGCTGCAGGTCCGTTTAAGACTGTTAGGCTAAAGAGACTGACCCTTCAACCAAGCAACAGCCTGGTGGACCAAGCTCTCACAAGTCAAGCCTGGCCTCGGGCCGGGCTTGGGGGAGTAGAACTCCCAGAACCACATCAAGCAGGTACTGTACTAGTTTATTACGTGCATGAAACCCAAAATTGTGCCCGTTCTCGTTTTTCGGCTACGTGTGCCTGCTCTAAGTAGCCTTGGTGGACCTCCGACCCTAAGGTCCAAGGCAGCCTTACTGGGAGGCTCTTCTCACTACAGCAATGTACACATTCATTCTTCTCTCGCATCCCGTCACTGCTCTCGTCTCCAAAATCATCATCATCACAGTACTTAATGTGAAGTGTATGTGTACACTATGACTCTAAGCGCATCAAGTTGCTTTTTTTTGACATTTTGAGATATATACAAGAGTTGTTACATTCTTGTAGAGCCACTAGTACGCGTAGCGTTTCGGGCAAGTCCTTAATCCTATGGTCCCTGGAATACGATCCCCTGCCGCGAAGAATCGTTTTTTCATCCAAGTACACATTTTACTGTTGCGTTAAACAGAGGCTACAGTTAAGGAATTGCGCCCAGTAAATCCTCCCCGGCCAGGATACGAACCCATGACATAGCGCTCGCGGAACGCCAGGCGAGTGTCTTACCACTACACCACGGAGACTGCTAATCTTTTGTAAAAATCAGGCGTTAAAACTTGAAATTTCTCGGGCCAATGGCCATCGACATCACTCGAGTTAGGTGCATCAGTATAATCCTCCCTCCCCCATTTTCTTAGGCAAATGGGTATAAATTAAATGTTTGTCAAACCGTGAGAACGGCCTGGCGATTTCCTGCTTTGCACATTTTCTACACACCAAAATGTTTTATTGCCTAGTTATGTCAGATTTGGCCAGTCACGAGACCTTAAAGTAAAAATACTATGGAAGCAAAATGCCAAAGCTTTTCAATCGAGACTGTTGCCGGATTATTCCCGCTAAGGTTGACTTTGTGATAGGCTTTTCCACGAATACAAACACACACACACACACATCTCACCTGTTGATTGACGGTTGAGAGGCGGGACCCAAGAGTCAGGGCTCAACCCCCGCAAACACAACTAGGTGAGTACTAGGTGAGTACATCTCGCCCTGCCCCCACCTCAGAAAACCACACAACGTCTTACGCATATCTTTAAAATAGACTGTCTATTCTGTAAGGTTTTACTTAGTACAAACTAACTTCCAACCGAACAAACCCAACAACAAATAAAATCTTCCTCTTGTAAAATATTTAATTCGTAATTTGCTTCCGCTAGGCTACGGCGAGCTTTCAGCAGTCATTACCACGACATATCTTTCACAGCAACACCCATATTTCAAGGCATTATTCTCTCTTAAATTAGCGCAGGTTTTCTAACATCACTAAATACATGTAGCAGAGGTTGACACATCGCCGCCGCCATTATAAATGTAAAATACATATTTTTTACCAAAGACAACGTTAGAAAGCTGGTCCATGCTACAGTCCTCGCTCTTGCTGTAAATGGTATCGTGGGATACCATTTACAAAAAGACTGGGACAGTTCCACCTTTTAGTTCCACCCAGTAGACTGGTAGTATTGCTGGAACCGCCAATAACTATCATCAGACCCAGACTAGGCCTTCGCCAATTCACCAATTAATCGCAAAATTGAATGTTAAAAGTATCATTATTTGATCCGCAACTAATCAGTTTGTCTTAGTTCATTTAACTGCAAGAGCACGAGGGTGCCGTTATCTTGAGGTTATCTTGAGATGATTTCGGGGCTTTAGTGTCCCCGCGGCCCGGTCCTCGACCAGGCCTCCACCCCCAGGAAGCAGTCCGTGACAGCTGACTAACACTCAGGTACCTATTTTACTGCTAGGTAACAGGGGCATAGGGTGAAAGAAACTCTGCCCATTGTTTCTCGCCGGCGCCCGGGATCGAACCCAGGATTACAAGTCCAGCGTGCTGTCCGCTCGGCCCCAAATAAACTAAACTATGGAATAAACTAAAAAACCCTGGCAGTTCCTTATACATTTGAATTGCCTCAACCACTTCGTTTCTTTTGAGCGATAACAAACATATGAATAATTGTGGAATCTGTTATGCAGGTTTTGGAATAAAGCCGTATAATTTGTTTCCGGTAATAATTTAGGATTAATACAATTTTCGTGATATCCCAAGAATTATCATCACAGCGTATACACTTTTACGCCAAGAAAGGCTGCATTAATAATGATTAAATTAAACCTATCCTTAACGTCAAAAATAATTAAATATATGTATTTATTTTACCGTAACCATAGCATGTCGCCTAATACCACGTAGATAGCCTAACAGCATCAACTCTTTCTTTCACCGGGATACGAAGTATTTTCTCTATGCTCGGCTTCTCTCCGGCTCGCCGTACAATAATACAGAGCTTGGTCCTTAGAACACAACTGGCTAAGAGCAAAGCTATTTGTGCAATAACTGGAGGAATTACAGGCATTTTAGCGCGGTGGGCGATCACAGTGGCAGCACGAAGACAACTCCGCCACGTTTTACGGTAGCGTTTCCACCTAACCAGGTCTATTTAACGCTTGGCACGTTTTCGATTTACAATATAGTTTATCACGTTTGTAATTCTGCTTGAGTTATTAAAGTGTACCTTGCCCGCCGATCATGATATACATGCCATAACTATTCCACCTGATCCGAGAGGGTGGATTCCAGATCTGCCCCGATATATTTTCACTTTATATGGCAATTTTGGATGAGGGATCGAGTAGTACATCGCCACACGATCACAGTATGAATATCACCATAATTCGCCCCCCCCCCCCCAGTAATCTGCAACAGCATGTCGCGTCATAAAACTGATTTACTATACAACACAAGAAGAAAGCCGGTGTGTGAGAGAGGGACACACACACACACACACACACACACACACACACACACACACACACACACACACACACACACACACACACACACACTCTTGCTTCTGTTCCTCTGTCGTGTTCCACCCAGTGAATATATTGACGGAATGCCACAAACTCACGCCATTACAATACTCGAGTTCTTAGTATTATCTACTACAGTATTCACCTTAATAAAGAACAACAATGGTTTCGGTCGGGTTTGCAATTGGAAGTCCAGAATCCAGCCCAATCAAGTCCCGCATAGTAACTTCCCACTAAGTTGACCAGACCACACACTAGAAGGTGAGGGGACGACCACGTTTCGGTCCGTCCTGGACCATTCTCAAGTCGACAATCGACTTGAGAATGGTCCAGGACGGACTGAAATGTCGTCGTCCCCTCACCTTCTAGTGTGTGGTCTGGTCAAGTTACTTTTAGCCACGTTATTGCGACTCATCGCCCACAACTTCCCAGTTTGATACCACTAAACATGCCTGCCTCAAACTTCACAGCAAAGTACAACAAATTATTCTTACCTGTTTTTTCCTTGATTTCACAGAGGACGCTGAAGAGCGCAGGCTTCATGCGGTGGCAGTTTAACGTGTGTTTCCTGAGGGAACGACAAAAAGAAGCAATTGAAACTACTGAAAATAATCATTAATGTATATATTAGCCTACACAAAGGATATTATAAATGTGTATTTGACTTGACATTTCTACAAATTTGGGTTAAGGTGGGCCACCAGTTAAGTACCTACATGCACATTAATATTTCAACTTTCTACAAATTTGGGTTAAGGTGGGCCACAAGGTAAGTACCTACATGCACATTACTATTTCAACTTTAACCAAAGTCATGGAACACTAACAAAAAAATTAAGGTCAGTGTTAACATTGAACAAATTCACTGCAATAGCTTTGTCTCGCCAAAACTAACAAAAAAATTAACACAATACATTGCAAATTGCATTTAAAGTATAAACAAAAAAAGTACATTTACACAATATCAGGATTAGATTAGAAGACAGATATACGGCATTTTCAAACAGGAATCAAGAACACAGGGCTTGGACATAGCGACTGCTCTATGTAACTGCTATCGAAATATTAACCTATGACAAAATTTCCAGAATAAAATACACTTGCCCTTGAATAAAATTCAATATATGGGGAACATGAGTTAAGATATGATGACCAATTCCTAGAACTCAGAAGATGGAGAAGCGACGACGTTTCGTTCCTTCTATAACCATTATCAAGTGGTGTGAACATGAGTGAACTTTTGAACAAGAACTCCGGCGGTGTATACACATTATCAAGTAACGTAAATGGGTTACAGCTTAAAAAACGCGGATTCGAATATAGTGAACGTACAAATAATCAACATATATTCTAAATCGGAGCTCAAATCAATTTTTCAAATGAACCTTTCTTCAGTATCAATTACCTAAGGAAACTTCTTGTACAGAAACATCCGTCACACGAATGTAAGTAATCTACACGATGTTTACCAACCAGCTTTAGTATTAAACTTATCTAACCGAAGGACTATACATTATTACAATAAATGGAACAATTAGGCTTTGGCATGATACAATCGGCAGTGCCGACACTGCTCTATAAGATACTGTACATAAGTTTTATAAGGAAAAGCCTAAATATCAA